TAAAGAGGCTTTTCACCGGCAAAATGACCCCTTTTCGTAAGTCATTCTGCCAGATGGGTTAGACGAGGATGGATCACGCACACAAAAAAAGGTCTGCCTTCTGTAAAAAGTTCTCTGTACGTGAAGTTTGGTGTTTCTTCGTATTTGAAGAAATGGGTTCTGTGGAAAATTCAGGTATACGGGTAGGCACGGTCAGTTGCCCATCACAGCTGTCTCAGCTACAGATAGGACTGCTCTTTCCTGGAACAGCTTCTTCCCCAGACCAGTTCTCCACAGGCAGCCTGATTCACAACTCTGCAATCTTGGACCAGCAGCCTGCACCCCTCAGAGGCTCTGGGAGTGACTCCCGCCCTGATTGAAGGCACCTGTCACAGAGGCTGCCTGAGGGAAGGGCTACATGAGTCCCCGTCAGTTCACTTTAGCTCCGGGTGAGATGAAACAATGTGGGAAGACCTATGTGGCAACATCTCGGAGAACAGTGCCCTCACCATACTCTACACCTCTTCTCGGCAGCTGCAGCCTCCGCGGACCGGGCGGTGAGCACCCAGTCTGTGGACCGGCCAGGGCACAGGGGACTTGGGGTGTCAGAGGAGGGCAGGGAATCTCATTCTGCACAATCCAGCCATAATCTCTGGCAGACTCAAGCAGCACTGACCATGGCACCTAAAAAATCTCTCATGCGCCTCTCCTCAGAATCAGTGGACCCCAAACTGAAGTGGAGAAATCAAGAATGAGACCAAATTGGGTGGTGTGGACTCGATGACCAGCAGACAACCTGAAACAGTGTGAGAGGTCCTTAAACCATGTCGGCCAGGACAATCACATTCCACAGTGAAAAGGCCTAGCCGCTGCACGCTACTGAACCGCTAAGACGTTCTTACTGAGTCCCACCGTTTGGAGAGAATGAGGGCAATGAGATCTCTGCAAAACCCAACTGTCTACGTGGTCTCTTTCAAGTAGAGAATTTGCTTTTTTACTGATTCCGAACGGCCCAATGTACTGAGTGTACGAACTTGACTACAAATCATCCAGTAAGCATGTGGCAAGGTCAGTTCAACACTTTTCCTCTCAGCTGACTGTGCAGATGCACATTCAGTACCATTGTGGACACAAAGCGCGAGCTTCTGACGAGATCACGGAGCACTGGACAGCCGCAGCAGCGGGGACGGGACGGTAACTAGCATGCAAGCATAACCAGAGTCTTCAATGAAAATAAGGAAATTAGCTTTTGAAAAAATCTGCCACAAATGGACCTAAATAAGGACGTCATTTTAGCATTATAAAAAAAGAAAAGAGCAGTCTTATTAAAACATTCTTTGGAACACACCCCTTACCAGAAATTGATTTGTTCAGAATCCTCAGGACACAACCGAGGAGGCTCTGCACTGAACTCTGAGCATCTAAGCATCAGATGAAGACGGAGGAAGGACTAAAAAACCACCTTTAAAACAAACTCCTTAACCCAAAAACATGACTTCTAGGAATGGGGGGGGAAGGGGGAGATCAGAGTCAAAATCAAAGATTCAGGAAGATATTCATCACAGCATTATTTAAATAGTGAAAAACCAAAAACCATCTAAGTGTTTTACAACAGGGAAATGGTTAGATAAATTATGATAAAATGTATAACCATTAAGCTCTACAATCACTGAAAACAATGTTTTTTTAATCATTGCTCATGACATGGAGAAATGCTTAAGATAAATTATCAAGTGAAAAAAGCTGAATGCAGAACAGTGTTTTATGTTCCCAGTTTAGTTTAAAAAGAAAACAAATGTGTGCATGGGGGGAGGGGAGAAGGTGGGCTATACACCAGAACGTTCACAGTGGTCTTTTCTGGGTTGGTAAGCCTACAGTTGATTTTTTTTTTTTTTCCAGAAAACAAATGTTTTAATAGAGTACAGAATCACCTGGAGCCCCTGTGACAACACGCGGCCCTGGGCGCGTATGGGCCACAAATACCACAGCGTGGCCTCCGGGGGCCGGAGCAGGTGCGGGTGCCGTGAGCTCTGGTGTGACCGTGACAGGCATCTTTCCCGAGCAGGTCTGCAACAAACTCCTGAGAGCCAAGGTTCAGAAGCGCAGGTGCAATGTAGTGCCATTCACCAGGTGGGGCTCTGTGCACCCGACGGGGCTGCAGGCTACCACCACCCACCACCCGCTCTCCTGGTGAAGTCCACACAAAGAGAGCAAGAGACAAGTGCACCCAAACCTGGCTTCCTGGAGTGCCCAGAGAGGGACAAGGACAGCGGGCTGTACGAGCCCACGCAGACCACAGCCCCGCTCCCTCCCCTCCATGCCAGCGAGGCCACACGGTGCGGGCAGGGCGGGCTCTGCTTGGCGGCTCTTCGGTTTGGCACTTACACTTCCCCTTGCCCTCTCGCAGCGGGACACACGGCTCCTGGATCCATCAAAGGGGGCATTTTCTTTCTCGCCTTAGGTACATCATTTGCATTTCCGTGTATGTCTGTGTACGTACTAGACTAACAGTTACGTCCACATCTTAGAATGTAAGGCACCTGCATGCCGGGACAGGAGCTCTAAGGACAAGCTGGATAAAACTAAAGCTAACATGAGTAAGCACAGGGTAGGAAAAGAGGAAGTATAGGCCTTAAAAAAGGGGGGGTGGAGGGGGAGGAGAAGGAGGACAAACGCAGCCTACAGGGAAGGGCTCAGCTGTCACTGGCTCAGGCAAGGGCAGTCACTTCAACTCTGTCAGCTGCGAGCTCGACCCCGAACCCCTCGTTCTCTGGTTTTGGAGGTTAAGATGGAGCTTGAGGGGTTAGCCCGGGAGGTAGTGGCGCCAACCAGGGAGAAGGCGGCAACGGCCGATGCGTCTCTCCCAGAGCAGCCCAGCTGAGTGCTCTTGGGAAAGCCCGATACCGGCTCTGCTCGGGTCCCTGTAACCAGATCCCAGGATGCTGTGCAGGAGCAGGCCCCTAACTCTCTTAACGGCACAGCCACAGAAGCTGTGTGCTGACAAAGTTAAGTTATCGATATGGGGAAAAAGCTGCAAACGGACTTCCTGAAAGGGCCAAGTGAGACAGACTTTCTCAAAAGCAGGTGAACACAGGTAAGCTTTTTCACAAGCAAGAAAGAGGACGACAGGAGGTTGACCTACGACTCCAGCCCAGAGCAGGGTCCTGCTCCCTGCGGCACCCCAAGGGCAAGCACGCCCGACACCTTGCCAGCCACCTAGGCGCACGCGCACTTGCTTGCTCACATAAGGCTCGGCTCTAGTGCAGAGCAGCGCACGCAGCCCGGGGGGAAGCCATCGGCAAACCTGGCAGCGTCTCTGCTCCCAACCACCACCCGCCCCCCACCTCCTGCGATGCCCTGAGGCGCGACCGCCACAGCCACGCACTCCTCCCGGGCTAACCAGTTTGAGAAGAACCTCTTTTCTCTGGATTTGGACCGCTTGTCAACACAGGGCAGCGGATGTTTTTGCTCCAGATAGGCGGAGGGTCGAGGGGGAAATGGGCGGCGGGGGACGGTGGTGGATCTTTTCCACGGGAGCCTTCCACTGGTGCCTTCCTGAAAGCCTAAAGGACACCTTCATCCCCTGGGGACAGAGGTGTGTCTGTGAGCAGCCTGCAAGCAGAGGGGCCTCCCCCTCTCCAACAGGGGACTGAGGATTGCCCTCCAGGGACAACCTGAGCAGGGAGAGAAATGCAGAGCAGTGACCACCAGGCCAACAGGCATTCTCTGCCCAGGGACTGGCAGCAAAGAAAATCAAAGGACCGGTAAATCCTGGACCCCCCCCCATGGTGTACAGCTTCCTGCTGCCTCTAAGGAACACAAGGAAGAAGCCTGAAACCAGGGAGCGAGCAGGCGGGATGCTCAGGCCCCAGTGTGGCGCTCCTACCCCTCGTGCAAGGCGAACGTTTTCTTCCAGGCAAGGTCCACATCTTGATGGGGACCAGATGACCTGGCAGCACGAGGCGGCTTTTAGACCCTCGCCACCGAGATGTGCAAGCGCTCAGAGTTTCGCCAGGAGAACGTTGGATCGCGACGGAAAGAGTGCATGTGGCAGCCGGGAGCCTGCTGGCGCCCGGAGTCTCTCGGCCCTACCGAACCAACCAGGGGGAGGCCTGCAAAGCTCGCTCGCCCTCTGAAAAAACTCTCGGGAGGAGCTCACCGAGCGGTGCCTCCCTACATCTGCCCTGTGACCTCACACGGAGCAGGACGGAGCCCTAACTCCTGGTGCGGCCGGGTGCCCGCTTCTGCCAGTGCTCTTTCCGGGCACTGGCCTGGTTTCCAGCCCCACAGGGCCACACCGCCTGGAAGGCTGTTCGGTCGGAACACCCCGCTGGCACCCTCCAACCTCAGCATCTCACCCCGACGGCCCGGGCCACGTCTCACCACCTGGAGCCTGCCCGCCACACGCAGCCCACAGAGCGAGCACTCACAGCCACAGAAATCTCACAGCCAGAGCTGCGTGAGAAGGCAAGCAAGGGGCCCTGCTGGGGCACAGGGGGCATCAAGTAGGGACGTAAGAAAGGGAGCACGCGGACCAAAGCCAAGAACACTCCCAGCCCGCTGAGACCAAGGCCAACTTCCGGCGGAGGGTATACGGCTCCCTGCCGAAAGGGTTCTGCGACAGCCTCGGGGCGGAAAGAGCCCAGACACACACCCCGTCCCCTCGGCCACAGGTGACCAGGGCGTGTGGTGCAGAGCTGGTGACTCGAGTCTGTTCCACTCGCCCGGGAGGGAATCAGGCAGACGTGCACGGTGCCGGGTCCCCGTGGCGAGGAGAGCTTGGGGAGCCTCCACAGAGCACAGAGAGCAAGCAAAGCGACCCTGAATTCCTTTTCGTTATTGGTTTTGTTCTTTGTGTGGTTGGGTATTTTTTTCTTCTTTTCTTTTAAATAAAAAAGCTGCAAGGTTCCGCCGTCTGCGTCCCCCTTGAGATGGCTGGCAGGTGGTCTGGAAGCGTCCCGATGGCGGCGAGCCGCGCTGGGGCACGTGTCCTGGCAGCGAGGGCAGCAGCCTCGGACGTGTCACTGCACGGCGGCGTCCGGGTGGCTCTGGTACCTGTGTCTCCACACTTCCTGGATCTTTTTGCACCATTTGTGAGCATTCCCACTCGGGTCCATCAGGTAATACGTTCTGTTCGGCTGTGGAGACAAAACCGATTTAACGAACCCGAGGGAATCCCGCCAAGACCAGCACCTCGACCTGTCGTGAGAGAAAGCAGGAGACCGTCGTCCCGCTACAGCCACTGCCAATGCCGGTGGAAGCACGCGAGCATGTGGGGTTTTCCTTCCCATATGTGCAGCCCTCACCTCTGCAGGAAGGGTCACAGACCCCTTAGAAAGACAAGCTGGCCCAGCTCAGGGCTGAGCCGAGAACATGGGGCCCCCGGGACACAGGAAAGGGAGAAACACCAGCCCCTCAAAGGAGAGCCCAGAGAGACAAACTCACCGTGTGGACAAAGAAGGTTTTAAAGTTCTTGGCCTCTGGTCGGAGTTCTTGTGACCACGGAATTTCGCCCTTCAGGACTTTGTTGACAGGATCCACATAATACAAGTGTGGCCCTTCTGTGAGCAGTAGCTGTCGTCGTCGTGCAAACAAGCCCTGATGCAAAATGAAAAGAGGCTGCTTGTCAGGGCCCCGCAGTGACACCTCAGGGAGGAGGTGGCACATACCGCTGCCCCTGAGGCCAGGCCGTCAAAGCAGCTCCGGGCACCGGGCCCACTGCCCACCACCCGCCCACGCACTCAAGACACAGCCTCCCCACCACGGATTGGCCTCTCGTGTCACACAGGCGCAGGAGGAATTGAGTGCCCAGCCTGCCTGGCCTTCTGGAGCTGGATCCCAACATCCTCACTGGGCGTGCCGCCCCCACCCCCCCAACCCCCCCTGTGGCTGCCACACGGGGCAGGGGCAGCGGCAGCGGCAGCACGGGCAGGCGAAGACGAGCCGACTCTGCTGGCCCACCATCACCGCAAGGCCCCGTGTTCCTGACGGAACCCCTATCTGCTACACCGCACCGGGCGGTGTCTCCGGCACAGCCAGGAACGGAGACTGGGAGCCTGACCTCAAGAAGGGCCCGTGTCGGCAGATGGGAGAATGTTGGTGGGGTCTGATATTTTTGACACAATCCATTTAATTAATCCATAACAAGGTCACAAATAAATAACAACTTGGAAAAACAACTCTAATGAAAAGATAGACAACTCGTGAGGATATGAAAACCCCGGTCCTGAGCCTGAAACGAGAGGTTGTATTTCTATTTTACCACAGCCTTCCTGTGTGGTTTCAAACGGCTTCCGCTGAGTGGCTGAGTCTTCCTTAGCCACCAAATCTAGAAATGCTCTTTGCGAGAAAGGGAACCAAGACCAAGGACGCCGTGTGCAACCGAAGGAGGCCAGGCCCCGACCAAGAGCAGACAGGGAGACAGGCAGCCGGTGGTGCGGCGGGAGTCAGACTTACCTTTCGCTTATCTACCGGACCCATCTTTAGTATCAAGTTATTTTCTACAAACTGGTGCCTATGAAAGGAAGAAAGCAAGAATGAGACGCTTGCCATGAGTCAGGGACGGAAATTCTCCCAACTCCGCTCAAAATGAACTTCCCGAGGGCATCTGCGAGCTTTGCTCAAGCCTCCTCACAGCCCCAACTCGCTCTGGTGACTCGTGAGGCCCAAGTGCGACGCACCGTGCAAGCGGGCCAGCATCCACTCCTGCCAGCACGGTCGCCTGCTGCTAACTCTTGCACAGCGGTATTCGCGCAGCAGCAGACAGGTGGCGGCGAGGCGGCGCTGCAGACCCGTACGGTGACACACGTCCTCTTTAATGTGAACAAAGCTGAGGCGAACACAGAGGCCCCCAGAAGGGTGGAGGCTGCTGAGAGTCAACCTCGGGATACTGACTGCTGGCCACGTGTTCCCTGCCCAAGCTGGGACCCCCGACTGGATACTCAGAAACCACCGAGTAGCTGAGAATCACAAATCCCTAAAATTAAAGTGCTGGACTCCGTCTGAGAACATCTTACTGGTAGGGGCGCCTAGGGGGGCGGGGGGGAGGGGCCTCAAGTAAGCATCCGACTTCAGCTCACGTCACGATCTCACGGTTCCTGAGTTTGACCCCCACATCGGGCTCTCTGCTGTCAGCACAGAGCCTTCTTCGAACCTTTGTCCCTCTCTTTCTTCGCCCCTCTCCCACTCAAGTGTGCGCACGAGCGTGTGTGTGCTCACACGCGCGCGCGCTCTGTCTCTCTTAAAAAAGAAACCTTAAAAAAAAAAAAAAACTTACTGCTGTTCCTACCATAGTAACAAAGCACTCCTAACCCAAATACGGCAGGAATTTGGAAGAGAAAGCAAGAAACATGACTTTAACTTAACACACATTATTAGCAAGTATGCTTCACTTTGACTCCTGGGAGTTTCAAAGATGTCGTGTTAATGTTTAAAGGTTATCTCTTTTGGTTAAAGTGAACAGTTGCCGGTTTCTGTTGTGTGTGACTTTATGGAAATTCTTGGTCTGGGGGACGTACTGGAGAACATAGCGTTTTATGTTTGAAAAGGCATAAAACAACTGTTACTTCAAACACTGACAGTTTTACCATTCTGTATCTGAGCCGGGGCGCACACGGGACACCTAGTATGTGTGCGAGGCCAGCCAAGCTGGCAGACCAGTATTCTCCCACCAGGCTCAACTGGGCCTGAGAAGTGCCCCCAGACTAACCCAACCACACCAGTGCCCGCTCCAGAGCCCACTGTGGCCCCAGACTACTTCTAAGGGGACGTAGCAGCATGTGGATTTGTAAAACTAAACAAAATTTTAACGAAAAAACTGGTCTATGAGGAAAAGCGCAGTACCTCCCTCTCAAAGTACTTAAAAACAAAGCCAACAAACAAAAACAAGACTTGGAAGAGGAGATATAATGATCTCCTGCAGCACGGAAATACACGCATCAAACAGAAAGCCTCTTCTAGTCAACAAGCCCCAACACAGAGCAATTGGATGTGACATTCAGGACCACAAATAATACGGGGAGACTTGAATTAAATTACACTGGGTGCGGAGGGGAGCTCAAATTCAGCCCAGGCTTGTGAAGGATCCCACCGCCAAGCCCTCCGGGCAGCCGGGCCGCAAGGGCACCGGGCCGAGGGCGCCAAGGCACCAGGGAAGACGAGCAGGAAAGAAGGAAAGACATGGCCTCACGGCATCTTCGCAGCCTCATGTGGGTCATCATGAGACAATAAAATATTCTGGTTTTCCCCGAGCTTGAGAAACTAGGGAAGATTCTTGTCGAGGTCGGTTAACTCTGATCCCAGGTCACCAGAAGCCCCAAAGCGATCCAGCTCCTGCCAAGGGAAGAGCAGGGAAGGAAGGGCCTGCGAGGAGGAGTTACTTGGTCAGTAGCGGCCAGGACCAGGCGAGCACAGAAAGCACCTCTGAATGCACACCAGCCAACGTGAACAAGGAGACCAGGTGGAGAAACCTTCCGCAAACCAGGGTCAGCACGTGCACCGCACAGAGCACAGAGTGGCAGGAAAGGCTCAAAGCTCCAACAGAAAACTGAGCAAAGGAAACAAGCTAGAAATTCCGAGACAGAGAAAGTGACCTCGCCACGTTCTCAACGGCCCTAAATAAACCAAAAGCTCCCCTTCTCACATGCCCTGCTGGGGTGCCCTGGCATGTGTGCGAGCGCCCCGAGACAACTCTGGAAAGGGACGCTCCCGCATGGCACCGGTGCCTATGGCCCTGAACTCGAGGCCCGCCAAACGACACGACAATCTGCAAATTGTGTACTGAGAGGGGAGCCCACTCCCGGCTACCGGCCCTCAGGAAGTAAAGAAAGACAAGGAGCAGGAGCACAAACGTCCCCAATGGTGTTTCTGCACCAGTGAAACTGAAGTCATGGCACCGGCTCAGCCACAGAACACTGTGGCACTGTAGGGAAGCCCCTTGCTCATCCCCGTGGTGAGGACCCCACGGACACACCCCATGGATGGGCCCCGCCCGACTGCGCGGACCAGCACGCACCTTCCCTGCCACACGTGTGCAAGCAGGAGGCATGGAGCCACATGGCCCGGGGTGACAGCTGGCGCCGGCCGACTGGACCCAGTGGCTGCACTGAAATGAACCCGAGGCAGGACGCAGAGGGTCCGAAGCTCCATTACGAGCACAAGTGCCACAACCCAGTCGCGCAGCACGCTCACCCAGGCTTACAACAGGCTGCTGGGGATCTCCTTTGAAAAGTTTAAGTACTTAAGGCATCGCTTTGAGTTTTTTCCTTCCAAAAGTCAATTCCCGCTCCCCCAAAAAGGCACCCCCAACTCCTGCACGAGGCACCTTTCCCCTCTCTGGCCAGCGGCACATGCCCCTGCACCCCAGAGCCCGGGACTCTCGGAGCGCGGTCGGCAGGCAGGCGGGGCTTCACCTCAGCCCTGCTCCGCACACACGGATGCTCGTTTCTCGAAGGGTGACGGGGTTAGGACGCTCCTTCCTGATTCCACAGCCACGGTTCTCTCCTCCTCACACTAGCCCAGCAGCACCCCCTCTACCCCGAAAAGATCATTTTTGAGGATGCAAGCCTGAGGCCACAAGCAAGCCTGAGCCATTTCAGTGCACGGTCGCACCCAGGAGAGCCGAGCAGGACCGCCAGAACCCCGACGTGGCTCTCCTGACCGCCTCAGGAAGGCTCCCACACTGGGCTTCGACACAGGTGACGGAGGAACAAGTGACCGTGGCCAGCTGGCTCTACAACACTAGCTCTCGGGACCCCTTTATACCCTCAAACTTTACGGAAGATCCCGAAGAGACGTCCTTTATATGGGTTTTAGCCACTGATATTTATGTAGGAGAAATTAAGACAGAAGCATTTTCAAATATTTATTTAATTCGTAAGTTACAAAAAATAAACCCATCACATACTAACATAAACACCATTTTTATTCGAGAGTAACTTTTTTCCAAAACGAAGATAATTAACGCGAAGCATGAGCCTGCTGCACATTTGACAAACCTCATTAGCACGTGGCGTCACATCGAGAGCCGGGGGGCTCCGGCCTGCCTCCGCCTCCGCTCGGCCAGTGCGGCTCCTGCCAGGTCCGCTGCCGTGCGGAAGCAGAGTCCCCAGCAATGGGCGTTTCGGGCCCTGGGACCCTGCAGCTCATCGGGGCACCTGGCGCTCTGAACGGCTCTGCCGCCCTGACGCGATTTTACAGCGGCACAAGGCACTCACCTGAAAGACGGTGGTTCGCTGGGTTACAACGGAGACCTTCTCAGTGCTGACAAATTCAACATATTACCATCGCTACTTACCTCCTCAAAAAAAGGCTTGAAGCACTGGGAAGATGGCAAGCTCACAGAAACAGATAACGTTTCCCAAAATTCTAATTCCGATTTTATCGCTGGTAACAAACACTGGCAGCTGTCAGTCTTGACAGGCTCATGCCGCTCATCTCCCAGAAAAAAGGGCCAAATGGCCCAGTTGGAACGACCATCGTTTGCCAGTAAAACCCTGTGGTGAAAACGGTCTTCACGGAACGAGAGGGGGTCCGACTCCCAGCGCCAACCAACAGCCAAAGGCTCGGCCTGAGGCGGCTCGGAGCTGGGTCGGCGGCAGAGACGTTTCCCGCACACTTCCCGCTGCGCTATGCACACGACTAACAAAACGAGAGTTCGGTGATGACTACTTACAAGTGAGGAGGGGTTCTTCCCTCGCCATGAGCGCGTGCTGGCTGTAGAGAGCCCAGGCGCTTGCGCACGGCTAGGTGCCACGGCCTGGATTCGTGACCTGGCACCCGTGGTTTCACCCACCGCTGCCTCTGCACCACCGGCACACCTGTCGACGCGTTAGTTCCAGGACAGACAGTAAGAGTCACAAGAGGCACTCCGGGCAGCTCCTGCGCCCTCGGAAAGACACGACGCACGCCGCCGACTCGGCCGCCTCTGCGCGGCTCTTCTGGCTGTCTCTCTGCTGCCACGGCGGTGGCGCTGGGGACAACCGGACCGCCACCGGTAAGATCACGGTGGCGGGCGTTGCCCAAGTTGGAGCGGCCTGTGCCGTCAACACTCTGGGAGAGTCTCTCGCTGACCAACTTGCCCTGGTCGGGATGTTTTGGAAGATGCACTCAAAGGAGAAACGCTGGGTCTGCCACGCGGGAGCTTCTTCCTTCACACACCTGAGACTGTGGCCGACAGAAGACTCTGGTCACCGAGACCGGGCTTGCGGTGGTGGCTGCAGGGGTCTGTCAGCAGGAGGGAGAGGGATGGCTCAGTCTAGACCAGAGGAGCGTGAGCGCCTTCAAATCCACCGTTCCACCTATAGTCAAGCTGTGTCGTGATTGTGGTTTCCAACCCAGTGGATATTCTCCTACGTGACCTGGAAACTAAGCGGACCACCTGGACACCGTTTGACGGGAAGTGGGTGTAATCTGGATTCCGTGAGATTTTGCTATCTTCCAACTGAAAACCTGGCATTCATCCCAGCAGCAGCCACGGATGGATTCTGGGAGAACGTGGCAACTCTTCGTGTGGCTGTGTGGAGTGAACGTGGCAGACTTTTCTCTCTGGGAACCGAATCCAGAAATGGGAGCAGACAATGACGGTGAAAACTGGAAGAGACCTCCTAGGATGGCGGTTGAGGGTGTCTACAAAGTCTTCGAGCTAAAAGGATACAAACCGCGTTACTGGATTGGCGTGGCAGATCTCACTGAATCCATGCTGAAAATCTATCCAGGACTCCTCTGGTGTCGACGGCGGTGAGGGGCACGTGTGGCACTGACGAGGGAGTCTTCCTGAGTCTTCCCTGTGTCCTGAATGCTGGGGGATTAACCAGTGTTATCAATAAGGAGCTGAAGGATGGTGCGGTGCTCAGCTCAAGAAACGTGCAGATCATCTGTGGGACTTCAGCTTCCAAGCCGTAGAGATTCAACACGACGGTGGGATTAACTGCGAGCGTCTAGTTTTCATCCATGTGCAAGGATCACAGTTTGCTTTTCTCTTCCTAAATATGCGAATCTGGGCTCACAGACTCAAAGCCAACGCTTGGCTTATGCTTGCAATCAATACAAGCAGTATCTGGGGATTCATCCACACGTGAGGCAAAAGTACAACTCGCCGGGAGGGATGCAGCCATCTCTTTAACCCAACGAGCCGTCGCGCCACGGCCTGTGGCGGCACCAAGCCTCTTTACCTGTCACCCAGTAGCATCCACGGCCCAACGCTCGTTGGTCTCTGAGCTTTCACAAACATGCACTTCTCCAGCCTGGACAATGTGACTTCTCTGTAAGAAGCCACAGTGGCTTTTTTTTTTTTTTTTTTTTTTTTTTTTTTTTTTTTAATGTTTATGTGTTTTTGAGAGAGAGACAGAGACAGAGACAGAGATAGAGCATGAATGGGGGAGGGTCAGAGAGAGACGGAGACGCAGAATCTGAAACAGGCTCCAAGCTCTGAGCTGTCAACACAGAACCCGACGCGGGGCTCAAACTCACGGACCGTGAGATCATGACCTGAGCCGAAGTCGGACGCTCAACCGACTGAGCCAGCCAGGCACCCCAACACAGTGGCTTTTTATTAATGTGTGGCACTGAAAGAGCTCCTTGTGTAAAATTACAACACAAAATTCCTTTACTGTTAAAACTCCGAATGAGGGGCCTCGGAGGCTGCAGCCTCACTGGCGCCATGACAGGATGCCAAACATTCTGCTCAGAGACACGACCCAGAAGGTACTGACACCCGTGGGTACGCGGTAGCTCCTGCAGTCCGGCCCAGGTTCCGCGGGCGGCCCGCTCCCTCTCTCATAGGCAGGGCCTCCTCTTCAGTCCCTTCAGACGTAGGTGGGGCTGCTATGGATCAAGAAAGCAGATCATCTCCCTTTTTGAGGCGATGATTCCTACTTAAATGTGGAAGACAGGTGATAAACGTCCTTTTATTTGAGACTACATCACCCGAATCTAAAATAATAGTTTCAGGAGCACCTGATGGCTCAGTCAGCTAAGCATCTGACTCGGCTTAGGTCACGATCTTACGGTTTGTGAGTTCGAGCCCCACATCGGGCTCTGGGCTGACGGCTCAGAGCCTGGAGCCTGCTTTGGATTCTGTGTCTCCTTCTCTGCCCCTCCCCCAGCTCATGCTCGGTGTCTCTTTCTCAAAAATAAAATAAACATTAAAAAAAATTTAAATATGGAAAAAGAAAAGTTTCAGATAAAATTCAGAAATGTTTTTCACAAATTTTAAAATTTTATTGCAAAAAAAGTCAGCAAAGTGTACTCAGATCCTGTCGGGTGTCTGTGTAGGCACAGGGAAAACTTCACAATTTCAAAGCAAGGATTTACTGGATGGCACGGAGTTACAGTAACAACAGCAGGTATAACTGAAGACAGCTACTAAGAGCGCAGTAGAAATACTGAGAATTCACTAAATTTCTAAAACTGCACCTACTTCTACTGTAAACCTACTTCTTCAGAAAATACAAAAAAAGCACAGTCCAGAAACCACGTCACCGTACAGCGTGGGGCCCCTGAAGAAGTGCAATGGCCGCTCACAGAGAACGGGAAGGAGAGAGCGCACACCATCTCAGCGGTGTCACACAATTAGCCGTACGCCCTGCGCGACTGACACCGGGAGCCACGGTTCCTAAGAACGAAGTGTTTTTGACAGATCTCGCGCTGGCCAAATAAAGGGTGCCTCAAAGCTCCTGCCATCACCAGATTCCAAATAGGCCTGAACCTGGACAAAAGGGAAGAGAAGCCTGAACAAAGAGAGGCACGGCAAGAGGCCTCGGCAGGGCCCAGAACCTGGACAGAAGAGCCTCAGGAAACGCCAGAGGCAAAGACACACGGTCTTCTGGGGAGTAACCCCGCGCCTGCAACAGAGCGAGCCCTCGTCAGGGACCCCAGCACGCACGGCCCGGGACGCTCCCGCACAAGCCGGCACGAAGGCGTGCAGAGAGTGCGCGGCCCGGCAGTGCTCACACCGCTCGGACCAAAGCCCCTTCCTCCCTGCTCAGCACACACTCCTAAGCGATACCACCTGAGAAAAGACAAACTCCAGAGAAGTGTAGAGTATTCCAGTTGGCCAACATCACCGTCACTTTTTCTAGAAACGATAATTTCTAATGGTACAAAATCCCAGCTTCACCACGCGCTCCCCTCTGGGCCCTGCCTTCTCAATCTTCCACACTCTGGCCCAGCCCAGCCCTCTGATCGCCCACCTTCTCCCTCCGTCCCCACTCCTACCCCTACACATCTCCCCACCCCACCCCCAAGGTGGACTCCCCTCTGCCCGAGTGAAAGGTGAAACCATAAAAACACATCAAGAAAATGTCAGGGTACAGACACTCTTCTCAACCTGACTAAGGTGGAAAACAAAATGAAAACAGACACATGTAACTTTGTAAGAATTTGTAACTGCTATTCAAAAATAACACACAACGTAACTGGAAAAGATAATGCAAAGATAACTGAAAAACGTGTGCAAAACAGGCAACAAAAATATTCTTCGTGTCTATGGCTCTCAGAAGTCAATTTCAAAAAGATGGAAAACGTACAAGAAGAAAAACAGCCAAAGGACATACAATACCTCAAAAAATAAATACAAATGGCCAACGAACACAGAAGATGATTGCCTCAGTAACAATACAAGTGCAAGTTCCCATGAGCCCACTTTTAGAGCATCAAACGTGTAAGGCGAGGCAAGAGAGCTGGGAAACGGGGGTTCTGGGCACTGTGGACACAACGCATGTGCACACCACCACCCTGTCTGCCACCCCAGGGCTCCTCTTTTAAGAAATACCCAGGCATGTGGGAAAAGCTACACGCGAATGACAATCTGCAATAGCTAAAACTCTGGAATGTCCCACACGCCTCACAAGGGGGCGGTGGTCATCCAGTCTGCCACGAATCCACAGCATCGGATCACGGGCAACGGCAGGCCCGGCCTGCTCAACCCCAAGGGCTACAGCCCCGACAGGCTGAAACCCACTCATCCCCGGGCCCGACACCTCCAAACACCCGTTTCAAGCTGGACCCTTTGAGGGCCCTCGTTTGCAGAGCACGCAAGGCAGCGAGGGAGGTGTGAGGCGGTGGGGGCCTCGGCAGGCAGCGGCGATGAAGGCCGGGCGCCCCGCGCCGGTCAGTGGAGCGCGGCTTACACCTGCGAGCTCTTACCAAGGATTGCCGCTGGCCTGCTTCTCCAGCAGGAGCCTCTTCTCGTCTTGGGAAAACTGGAGGTCCAGCTCAAAAGAGTTAGTGTCCAGGTCATGGATGTACTGCTCGATGTTGCTGCCCGCCGCTGGCGGCAGGCCTGCGTCCGAGGCGGGCAGGCAGTGTGACGACGAGGACGTGGACACTTGCATGCAGCCAAACTGGCTCAGGAGGTTGTCGTACTGCAGAGAGAGGAGGGGAGAGTGACAGCCGTGCACCACTCCCCTTGGGCCCGCAGCCCACACCCTGGAGGCCCGGAGGCCCCCGCGGCAGCTCCGAGTCCTCCTGCGCTGGCCGGCGGCCACGGAAGCGGGCGGGGCCGGAGGCTGCCAGGTCTGGTCTTGCTCCCGACGGGCGAACCTAACCCCCAGCCTCCGAACCCAGGGAGGGGAGACCCAAGGCCTGAGGCCTGCTGAGCTCTGCAAGGCCCGTGCCTCCCTGACCAGAGGGGCTAGGAGGAGGGACGGGTGGCCACCTGGGGGCACCCTCTTGTGAGCTCGGGAGCCCTCCTCCTTTGGCCCCGTGGTTCTACGTTGCTGAGTCTGTGGTTGTCACTGTATTCAATTTGACTCGATTCAATTCAACTCGACTGTGCTCATTTCTTAAAAAAAATTCCTTTTAACTGCAGCAAATATTCATTAAGCTTGATACAAAGTTGTCTGCCACTCTGGACAAAGCCACAAACCGGTGGGGACACAAAAACAGATGTACTCACAAATGTGCCGACCAGGCACAGCCTGCACACCCACACGCCCCTGGGGCCAATGACAGGGCCAGAGAACCCCTAGCAAAGACCTGGGAAAAGAGGTCACCCTGGGCAGCCTTCTCCCCACAGCTGTAGGCCCCGCGCCCGAACCCCACCGCAGCCAAGTACGAGGGGGAAAAAAGCCACTGCCAACGGCTAAGAGTCCGCGTATCTTCCCGGTGCCTCCAGAAAGAACCCGGCTGCCCCCCACAGAGCTGGGCCTCAGAGCCAGGCCCCCTCGTGCAGACCCTGCAGCCTTGCTGCCCAAGCAGCCTTCTCCCTAGGGCTCACGTGGCACAAACAGCAGTCTCAGTCCCACCGCACCGGCTCCTGGCTGGGAGTGACACCGGGACACTCCCATAGCCCTTCACTTAAGGTCTTCTTCTGGCACATTCTCTGCTTCTGCTCTGTGAGGAACTCCCCAGGCCAAGACCGCCTCTGCTTAATATTCCAAAATTTATACAGGCTTCCGTGAGCCACCCCAGGTGTCTCAGGGGGCTGCAAGGCCAGTGAGACGGCTGCCTCCATCAACTCCACTTCCGAAACAGGAAAACTGAGGCTCAGACCTGCCCCAAGGCCACAGCCTACTAGCTAGCACCACATCAGAACCGGTCCTCTAAGTCCTTCGAACGCAGCAGCCCCTCTAGTCTTGTCACGGAGCTGTAGGCTTCCCATCACCACCGTCACTGTCTGGGTGATTCCTGTCTGGGGGGCTGCACTGCACTGCTCCCCGTGGAAAGCTCCAGATGCTGTATCTCAGCTCTCTGCTCTTCTCTCCTCAGCATGCCTAGGACAACCCACAGCACAAAACACAGGCCCAGAAAGAATGTGTGACAAGGGGTGACACTGGGCTGTGCACAGTAAGGAAACTGCCCCGGCTGGTCCGGCCCAGAGCACTTCTCCAGAGGCACCACACCCGGCACGCACACTCCAGAGCCTAACCGCGAGCACTACCGTTAGCACCCCAGGGGGTTAGGGACACACAAGAGAACCGAGTGCCTGCTTCTTCCCTCCCTGAGCAGAGACCATTCCCTGCTACTCACCCCCAGATGGAAGCCCCCTCACTGCTGAAAAGGACCCCAGACTCTCTCGGAGCCCCTCGAGGGAAAACTTGCCCCCGAGAGGCTGTCAACACCCGCAGAAAGGGAAGGCCCCCTCCTGTATCTGGTATCTTTCCAGGCTTAAGTCTTTTTCCAGGCTCACTTAACTGTCCAAATGGCAAGTCTAGCATAGCGAGCGCTGCCTGAACCCCTTCCAAGGCAGCTTTTAAAGCAGAGGATGAGCCACTTAACAAAAAGTAAGCCATTAACAAACGGAGCTGGTTTTAAGATGGTAACACTCGAGTACCGAGAAGCCAGGGCTCTCAACACAGTGAATGCGATGAAACAGCAGAGGGCGTGCACAGGACACTCCAGGGTGTGCGCACACACAGCCCCAGAAAGCGGAGCGCCCCGGGCACTGAGATCTGAGCCAGTCACGGCACGTACAGCTGCTTCAGAGCTGGTGGGGAGGGCACACCGCTTCCCTGGGACACCCCTGCCATATGCACTGGAGACCCCAACCCACTCCGACCGGCCACGGTTCGGGCAAGACGTCAGGCCAGGGGCAGAGTCCTGGGGCTGAGTCCCCTGCAGTCTGCACACATGGAGGCTGCGGACAGCTGAGGCCACCTTAGAGAGCTTCCCACATCTGGCTCCCCTCAAGTCTGGGCACAAAGGATACTTGAGGATAACAAAAGGGTGATGTTTTATTTACAACAGTAAGTAAGAGAAGAAATTCAGTCCCTGAGAGATGATACAAGGAGTACTTTTGACTAAGCTCTGGGTGACTTTTAGATAAAATCTAGAGTCCGCCAATCAAATAAAGGAGAACTCGATATGTGGTCACTGGTTAGGATAAGCCACAACAACAGAAGCTAAACAATGAGAATGGATGATCGGTGAGAACAGAAACACGTGAAATCCTATTTAAATACGAGGATCACAGTAAAGGGTGAGGAGGGAGCACAGGACTGTCGGTGAGCTGGTCACCCAAGGTGCGAGACAGGTGCCCTGTGGCTCACTGCACTCCTCTGCCCACTGCCGTGTTTCACACCCTCCAGAAGAGAAGCTCAAAGAACAAAGTATACTTAAGACCCCTGCTTCTCCCAGGCACTAAAAGCCAACAGTGACCAACGTCCATCCTGAATGCCATGTCTCCAAAAAGTTCAAAGCAGGAGCATCCCGGGCTTCTCTCGGAAAGTTAAGTATTCCAGAACGTCTGTAGACGCCCGATTAGAAAGATACCAGCCGAAAGCCGGAGACAGACGCCCACCGGGAGACTGAGAACCCCCAAGCCAAGGGGGACGGTGTGCAGGGCACTGCTCCCACTGCTACCGTCTCCCTGCCCCAACACCGGGCTCTGATGTGAACAGTCCGGGCGAGAATTAACGGTAGGAAATAAGAAACGGAGACTGCCCTCACCCTCCGGCAGATGTGCAGGCGGCAGCCTCCTCGGCCCCAGCACTGGGGAGAAACTCCGACCCTGGCCACCAAGTGTTCGACCACCAACAGGTCAATGCTGGCTTCCCCTCCAGCCGTGCACCCCACAGGCTGGACTCCCAGGGCCCACGGCACAACTGCACACAGCACAGCACGTGCGATTCCCCTCAGCTGGGCTGTTCCTGACACACACGTACTCCCCCGACACCAGACACAGAAGCACACCCCCCCCCACACACACAGACACACATAGACACACACCACACAGACGCACACAAAGACACAGACACACACGGACACACACACACACACACCCCACACCCGGACACTGCGTGCGTGCCACCGGCTTACATTCCCGTAGCAGTCCTCGTCATCTTCCGACATGGCCGGCAGGTAAGCGGTGAGCTTTGGAGGCGTCTGATGCTGCAGGTTTTCCCACGAGATGGACTCGAAGAAGGGGTGAGCCTGCAGAGGGCCGTACCCTCCCATTTCCTCGCAGCCTAATCGCTTCGTGGCATCTAAAACCTGAAACAGAAGACAAAACGAGTCAGTGTCCGGAACAAAGACTAATCCTGACCGACAAATTCTTTCTGCACACTCTTCCCAATTCCCATCTCTGGCCACAGAAGGCCCCACGGCCCGCCCCGCCCTGCCACCACCCCACAGAGCGCCGGGGGGGGGG